ACTTGCGCTCTATAAATTTTAAAGCTAAAATTGTAGAAAATATGTCCATTTTGTCCTCTTTCTGAAAAAGGATATAAAATCAGACTAGTATGTGACGTCATAAAAACAAAAATTGTGAATACACTGCTTTGACACTATAATATTTTCTGTTAATTTATATTTCTCATTCAATTTATTGAATTCAGCACAATTCAAGAAGTTTTCAAAATACGACTTTTGTGGGGGCAAATATATGCAATATACCGCATATAGTTTTTTGTAGAGACAATCAGTGGGCGACGACGGTATCTTCCGTCCATCTCAAACACAAATCCCTATATCCAGGCTCATGTAAGTAACACAAAATGTACCCATTAATCAGAGCCCATGCATTACAAATCCCTATGTCAGAGCCTATTATTTAAGTAACACAAATCAATGTCTTGGCCTATGTTAGTAATACAGACCCCTATGCAGTACAGTATACCTTATATGAGGTCTTATAATGTGTTCATTTCTCCTCCCCGGCAGAGAGACAGGCTGTTAACACCGCAGTTCAGGGGTCAGCTGCTGACCTTGTCAAGGTCGCCATGAAAATGTCTAATCAGAGACTCTCAGAAATATTTCCTCTCTCAAAGAAATCTTTCTCAATTTTGTCACTAATGTGATCTTTACCTCGTATTTTTTACTTGTTTTCTTGTGTGCATGCATTGTCTGTCATAAACTTTGGAATACTTCCAGCTTATTCTATAGATAAAACTGAATCGGCTTTGACAATTTTTTGGGTAGAGAGCAGCAATAAATGAAGGAGATATTGAATTGTGAATTTTGTTATACGTGTCTCCTTAGGACCTAAGTAATGATACTAAAACCATATGATTTAATTCAATGCTTTCTTCTCAAGTTTAATACTTTAAAATCTTGAATCAGGCAATTTAACTGTTGGCATAATTATATGACTGATGAACCCTCTTTGATGCATAAAAGGCATAAATCTTGTGTAGAATTACTATGGTCTCTACTAGGATTTGAATTTTATAATTCCTGAAATACTGTCAAGTTTGATGTATAATTTATAATTTATTTATTCTAAAACAAAATGTTGGGTTGATTTGATAAAACCTGTGCTAAACCTGTTATATACTAAAAATAATCTCCTTCAATTGGATTGTGGTTATGATTTATTATCAGCAAAACTCAGAGGCAAAGTAAATATTGTTGGATAAAATTTTATCCATTCACACCCTTTGGGATATACACTACAGGTAAATTGGTGGTGTAATATGCTGAAGGGTGTGTCCAGCCTCAGGTGGAATAAGAACAAATTGTAAACAATTAATCAAATGACAAGTACACTATATTAATACACCTCGTAAACGAAGTTTCGGGGGTATATAGGTATCCCCTTGACATCTGTCCGCCTGTCTAGCTGTCTAGTTGTCCGTCTGTCGTGAAAACGTGTCCGGTTTATATCTTTCTTACGGGGGAAGATTACAATCTACTATTCCACACAAAGATTGCCCATGACCTAAGGATGTGTCATGACCTTGACCCAAAGTCATTTTAGGAAGTTCAAAGTCACTGAAAGAAAAAATTCATAATTCGTGTCGGTCCATATCTTTCTTATGGATAAACTTGGTAGGTTCTAATTTCACACAAAGATTCCTCCTGACCTAAGGGTGTGTCATGACCTTGACAAAAGATTATTTGGGGAAGTTCAAGGTCACTGGAAGAGAAATTTCATAATTTGTGTCTGGTCCATATCTTACTTATGGATAAACTTGGTAAGTTCTAATTTCACAAAGATTCCTCCTGACCTAGGGGTGTGTCATGACCTTGTTAAAAGGTCATTTGGGGAAGTTCAAGGTCACTGGAAGAAAAATTTCATAATTTGTGTCCGATCCATATCTTTCTTACGGATAAACTTGGTAGGATATAATTTCACACAAAGATTCCTCCTGACCTGAGGGTGTGTATGACCTTGATCCAAGGTCATTTGGGGAAGTTCAAGGTCACTCGTAGAAAAATTTCATAATTCGTGTCTGGTCCATATCTTTCTTATGGATAAACTTCGTAAGTTCTCATTTCACACAAAGATTGCTCACGACCTAAAGCTGTGTAATCACCTTGAAACATGGTTATTTGGGGAAGTTCAAGGTCACTGAAAATTTTTCTTGATAATTTGTTTCCGGTCCATATCCTTCTTTATTATGGAAAATTTGAATCTACTACTTCACACAAACATTGCTTAAGACCTGAGGTGGTTGTGCCATGACTTTGAACCGAGGTCATTTATGCAAGTTCAAGGTCACTGACAGAAAAAGTTCATAATTCGTGTCTGGTCCGTATACTTAGTCTATTTTTTTTATTAAGCTGCGCCTTCATTTCATTTATAAAAAATATAATGAGCAATTACATTTGCACTAAAATTGTTTAAGCATTTCTTTCTTCTCTTATATCCACAAAATATTTATGATTAAGCTCTTCTAAATAAAACCCAGCGGGGGGTAATTGGACATTTCTAGTTTGCTCAAATTTCAAGTCGTTAGTTTAAAGATATACATATATACGTTCACTCTACAAATATGCATGCATGGTTTTTGTAAATAATAATTCAAACTTCTGAAGAAAAAAATGCTTCTGACTGCTCAACTACATAATTTTACAGAGTCTTAAAATTAAAATTTAAATTTAAAATTAAAAAAAATGTAAAGTGTACATTAATGTTCTCACTACAACCATTTGTAGAGAAAATGTCCAATCTTCGCACTGTTATATGGTAATTTCGAGTTCAAAACATGGCACAGTTGTCTTCAAAATGAGTGTTAAAAAAACGAATGTAGTTTATGGTTTGCATCACGTAATCTTTTTAGCACAGAATTTTTCCAAACAATTTCTAATTACGGAGGTACTTAATGGTCTAAAATGAAGAAACGTATGTAATAATTATATTCTTTTAAAATGATAATCACGTTGTTGAAATAATTCCTAGTTAAAGTTTAGTATTTATTCAATTCCAAAGGTAGAAATCAAAAATTACATTTTTACACAAAATTTCCAAAAGTGAGAGTTTATTACAGACAAACTCACGCACGTCTCAACTTTGTAAACTCCTCCCACTTTTCATAAACGAACCAATGAAAAACAAGTTTAAATACAGTAATAAATTTAGTGGAAAGCTCAATGACAATAATCTATAACAGGGGAAACAATTTGGGTAAGCACAACTAATTCAAAGAAAAATCAGTCTAAAAAACGGACTATTAACCTTTCAGTGATAGCAATTATGAGCTAATGGCATCGATACCGTGAAATTACAAAGATCAAATAAAACAATTACTTTTAATTATGAATTCACAGTAAACCAATTAAAATATTCAAACAATGCCTATATCATAATTACATCTAACAAATAGATTTTATCAAAAATATACATTTTATACGCATGTATATAACACTTGAAATCTACTGGTCAGTAGTGTAGTTCAAGTAATACATGTAATGTAATTTAATCCTGACCTTTGTGAACTGGAATCTTGCTAATTTCTTCAATGATATACGTTAATTATAAAATTATATATCAAGTTTGCTTTGTACACATGTGAAAGCTAATAAAAAACCCTTTGAATAATTAGTATTAAGTAAACTATACATTCAACTACATTATATATCATACTTCAAAATTTGAGAAAAAAGTATTGCATTTATATAAGACGGTTGATCCAGAAGTTAGAGGAATTTCTCCATATTTTGAGAATTACAAAGACACTAGACACTAGTGGAATAATTCAAATAAAAAACATTTTGATTTTTTATTATAGTAATTCTATGCAGTTGCCAAAGAAACAGTTGCTTGGGAATGGAGGAGAGACGTTGGGGCGTTAATAATCATTTTCATTCCTAATACTTGAATTGAGTGGCGAAAGAAATTTAAGAAAATAGAACCTCCATGGACGTTGATTAAAGATATGGACACCTTTGGAGGCTCTGCTTTAAGTGTTTATTCACCGAGGCAAATTAAAAGCGTTAGTGGACGTTGTCGGCTGACGTACTGTTCTTGACATTGCTTCTAAAATTGGAACATCATATATGGAAGTTTGGGAGTATTTTGAAATACGAGTGAAAAATAAAGATAAGTTGGTGCGCGAGGATACCCATGCTTTTCTTGAGAAAAAAATGGAGAAAAGGGGATCATTTTGTAGTATTACGTATTTGAATTGGACGGTAGGTCGAGATGCTTCTCTAAGGTTACATGACATACCTAACTGACGTTACGTCTTCGTTATAACCATCCATTTTCAGAGACCCCTTGTGACCATTTTGGTTATTGGAATGTAGTGAAATATTTCAGTATTGTTGCATTATGACTCTATATTATAATTATGCTTATTGTTTGCTTTCATCAAATCACGATAAAATTTTAGAAAGAAATTCCACGATTTTTTGGATCAACTCTTGCATATAAGACATTTTTTTCAATTTTTGATTTATTTTTTAAATGATCCCATTTTTAAAAGGAATCATTAGATATAAGAAACTCCTTTCTAGGGTATTTGTTTTAGATTCTGGATGAAAATAAGTACTGCAAAACATTCAGAAGAATTACATAGTTACAAAGAGACGGTCTGTTTTTCAAAGAAAAAGAAGTGCACAATTTGTTTTAAACACGAACGGATTAGCTTATTTAAGAAATAACTGTCATTTTTTGGGATTCATGATGTGATCAATCGAGTGGCTTGTGTGATTATTTGCATAAACATTTATGCATAAAATTATCACGCAAGCCAATGAAGTGATCATCGTCATGAATTAAAAAACAGTTGACAGTTATTCCTTATATTTACATGCTCCTGATTCGGCAAATCCACATGCTAAAAGTAATAGCCCTGCTTCTGTCTCTAATTGTCCCGCCAAGCACGTGATATTTTACCCGCGCCTATCGATGGACCAGTAGATTTTTGTATTTTTCTGAGATAAAATTACAAATTGTAAAGATACAAAGACATTGTAAATGTAATCATTTACAAATCAATAAGTGGAGTTTTTGTAGGAGTAAAAGGTGTAACCGTTATCCTGTCGGTATGTCCCGAGAGATGATATAAGAGATCCTCTACTACAGTAGGACTGAAAGACAGAAGGACTGTAAACTGAAGAGTTGCTATAATGTCCTTCTGAACTCTTATCCCATTCGAATCCTTGATTATTTCTTTGAATTGTGTTGACAGGTTTTCTAAAATGAAAAACATTAAGAGGATTTTAATCTTTAGACAGAGATTTTATGTTTGTGTGCTTTTTTTTTTTTGTAAATGTTATTAGACCCCCCCACCCAACCAATCAAACAAGAAATACAATTTCTATTACGTACATACAAATTTGATCAATGTATTTATAAATATAGCATAATGTTATATATATATATATATATATATATATATATATATATATATATATATATATATATATATATATATATATATATATATATATATATATATATATATATATATATATATATATATATATATAATCTGATTTTTTTTACCTGTTTTTTGAGCAAATGAGAACAGATATTGTAATAAGAGCGCATACAAAAACAATGCTGCTACCAATTAATGGGGCCTTATATCTATCCATCGTTTGTAAGATCAAACCAGATGTTGATGTTGAAGTAGTGGAAGGCAATAATGTAGTTTTCGAGTCCACGCTGACGTCACCAGTCAAAATTGCCATCAATGTTGACGATGTTTCTTTCGTTGATGTACTTGTCATTGTGTTATTATTAGGTTGTGTTAATGTTGCTTTAGATCGGGTAGATAGTTGTAAGGATGTCGTGGATTCTGTGTAGTGTGTTACAATCTGTGTTGTCAGTTCATCAGTAAACAAGTTAGTTGTCGTTACTGCCTGAGTTGAATGTTGTGAAGGCACTGAGGATTCTGTATTATATGTTGTAATCAGTGTTGTTGGTTGATCAGTAGACGGTGTATTTGTTGTAACAGCTTGGGTTGAAGATTGTGAAGGCACTGTGGATTCCGTATTATGTGTTGTTATCAGTGTTGTTGGTTGATCAGTAGACGGTGCATTTGTTGTAACAGTTTGGGTTGAGAAATGTGAAGACATTGAGGATCCTGTACTATCTGTTGTTATCAGTGTTGTTGGTTGATCAGTAGACGGTGTATTTGTTGTAACAGCTTGGGTTGAAGATTGTGAAGGCACTGTGGATTCTATAGTATCTGTTGTTATAAGTGTTATTATACCCTCAGTAGACGGTGTATTTGTTGTAACAGCTTGGGTTGAAGATTGTGAAGGCACTGAGGATTCTGTATTATTTGTTGTTATCAGTGTTGTTGGTTGATCAGTAGACGGTGTATTTGTTGTAACAGCTTGGGTTGAAGATTCTGAAGGCACTGAGGATTCTGTATTATCTGTTGTTATCAGTGTTGTTGGTTGATCAGTAGACGGTGTATTTGTTGTAACAGCTTGGGTTGAAAAATGTGAAGACATTGAGGATCCTGTACTATCTGTTGTTATCAGTGTTGTTGGTTGATCAGTAGACGGTGTATTTGTTGCAACAGCTTGGGTTGAAGATTCTGTATTGTATGTTGTAATCAGTGTTGTTAGACCCTCAGTAGACGGTGTATTTGTTGTAACAGCTTGGGTTGAAAAATGTGAAGGCACTGAGGATTCTGTACTATCTGTTGTTATCAGTGTTGTTGGTTGATCAGTAGACGGTGTATTTGTTGTAATAGCTTGGGTCGAAGATTCTAAAGGTACTGTTGTTTCATCTATCATCATAAATAAATTATGTTGTTACTGTAAAGGCAATATTGACGAAATATATTTCTAAAGCTGTTTGAATTTAAATTTTCCATAGAAGAAATTATATAATTATTTTTATAATGCTAATATTGATCCACTAAAAGATTAAATATGATTTTTCAGTAATAATAATCTTTTACATTTGCAGCGAAAATATTCTTAGGTTTATTTTCCCAAGTTTTTTTTACTGAATTTATGCACGTAGGTTCCAAAAAAATACATAAAGCTTGTCCAATTCTTTTAGAGTTTTTAGGTTTGTAAAAACTTTCAAAGTCTAGACATATATATCCTTTTTGATATGATGCAGCCACTTCAGGCTAGAGATTGTTGCATTTTAGTGAGTTTGAGGGGTTAAGGTTGTCCATGCGATTTAAAAAAAAGATTGGAATAGACACTTAGCATGATACCATAATACGAGGGTTGTCCCGTAAAATCGTGGACAAGTTGTCTAGTTTGAAAAATAATCATCACTGCGTTCTGAAATTTTCACCACTTTTTAGCAGATAAATTATGAATATACATAGCAAATTTCAAATAGATATATGCATAGGTAAACAAATCGTGATATTTTATGTTATGTACTGTATCGCCCTACGGCGCACGGATGGTAACGTCAAAGTGTCTAAAACAGCGTCACATTTCATCTTTGCTAAACTTAAAGTTGGATAAGCCCCACTTAAATTTAGAAATTTTATTGATTTACATATGTGAGTATCTATAACCAGTTAAGAAACCAATGTGGCACACTCATGCGATCTTCTGAATATTTATTAGCAAGTTACAGACAGTATTCTCACCATCATTCAACTAAAAGAAAATCTCACATCGACGGTCGACAGTGACAGCGTCCTTTGCTATAACAAATGGCATTCTGGCTATGTTTTGTACTATCTGGGGACTCAACCACGAAGACTTCACTAAGAAAACTTTCATTTCATTTATATACTAAAGATCTGGTGATATTTTTCATATTTTCTTTCTTCTGTATTCATTTAAAGTCTCTTAAGGCGTCATTACAACATCCTAATCTATCTGAACTGCTCTCCGGTGCGCCGTAACGTCATAAAAAGTCGCCATTTTTCGTGAATTGTGTTTATTACTTTCCCATTTCAATTGCTCGGGAAACTGCCAAAAACTAACCAAATGCATTGAAATTTTTAAAAATACGACAGAATTGATTAAGGAATGGAATTAGGATAATTTTCATCCTAATCTTATGTATTGAAAACTTTTATTACGAATTAATTCTTATGTCTTCTCTAATATAAACATGCTATTTTTACCGTGCGCCGTAGGACCATACCTTGTGCGCATTCAAGCAGAATAAAATCTTTATTTTTGAATATATATTATCAAAAACATTATGATTTACTTAAATATGATGAATAAACATTTACTGAAAATCTCAGCTTAGTGCGCCCATTACTTTTCGAGAAAAACGCTTTGTCCACGATTTTATGGGACAACCCTCGTATTACGTACATTATGAACTTTACCAGTTAACTTAGTAGTTATGATTGTTTGGATGGGACAACATATGAATAATGTGCCGTCTCCGGAAATAAATCATCTCTGGTCAAAATTTCAAAGCTGTTTAATCTGATTTCTAAATTGCATATTTCTGTCTCTAAATGGATATATTACCATGCACGAAAATAATATCAACATGCAAGATACCTTTGTCTTTATGAAACATAATTATATTGACATAAGAGATGGTAATCGAATAAAAAATCGCCAATCGGTTAACTGCAAGAACTTCTTGCTGATTAATCGATTATTCGTATAAAAAAATTATCTGCATGATTATTCCTTAATTTTAAGCTCCCCTAAAATAAATAAGGCCAAGAGGATGTTATATGCAGGAATAATATTTTTTTTTTATCAAAACACAGTTTAAAATTTTATTTCAATTTAAAGAAACAAAAACAAATAAAGCAAGTCTCAGATACATTTTTAAAAAAAAATCAGATGTTATACAAGCTCATTCCGTATTGTCAAAATTATCAAAATGAAGTCTAAATTCTCGATTGATTTACAATTTTTGTTTTGTAATATAATTTGACAGGTAATAATACGGATAGAAGGGGGAATATAATACTATAATCAGTCTATCATGCTGTTCAATCAATTGATTAAAATTAAAAAGAAAAGGACTGTGTGGGTAACGACATGGTGTTTAAACACTTGTAAACCATTAACATCGCGAAAACTGACCAATTTACCCTCAAGATGTCAATCCGGTGTGCCTTAAATATTTTCAAATCACCTTCAATTGAAACTCAAAAATGCAAACATTTGAAATATTTTTTGTTTTTTTAAATTCAAATTTTAGGATATTGTATTCAAATTTGCAAAAATTATTTTTTTCCCGACAAACCGATTTCAGATTTTCTAGCCTACTACCATCGTTCTGACCGAGTAACCGGTTAACCGATTAGAAATTGCAATCCCTGGTTGACATGCAACTTACAAATCTTGTATGAGAATCTTATCTTAATATGGTTAAACTTACGAACGTTAGCCCGTGTATGACATCGTAGACGCAAGATGCAACATATAATTATAAAAATACGATTGACTTTTGTTAACATGCAAGATAATTATGTAGATATGTAAGCTGTTTATGTCAACAAGAGAGTTAATCATGTTGACATGAAACTTATTTTTGTGAACATGCCACGTACATTATGTCAACATGCTAGATAAATATATAGACATGCAACTAAAATGTTGTCAAATACAATTACTAGTACTTCAAGGTTTGTTAATTCAATAATGACAACAACCTCTGGTGAATAATACTTTTCTGATATGTTTTAGACGATTTATACACATTATACATTATGCCGCTTAAACTGAATATCGCAGACATAAGAGCAATATAGTATATATGAATACTTTTAGACGACTCGATTTCATTAAAGAGAAAAGTTGAACAAAATTTGAACGACATGTAACATCAGATTTATGAAAGATACAGGATTTTATTAATCCAATTTTTGCCCCTGAAGGAGCCAAAAAAATATATAAACAAAAGAAGGAGGAGAATCCAATTGATAGAACAATCATGATCTTACATATAACGAGAGCAGTTGATAAAGAGGTATATAAGAGATATACTGAAGATACATACATGTATTGTATATGTTATAATAATATTATAGTCAAAGGCAAGAAACTGGGAAAAAAGTACATATAAGCATATCAAAATTTTCTCAATTAAGGTAGGTTACCAAGGAATCTAGCCAGTGATCTAAGGATGCCAGGGTCTTCATTAGTCATGAACCAACAATAATGATTATCATAAGATAGAAACTGAAGAATTTTACATTTATTTTTACAATTATTTATGAGATCAAATCTTTGTACATTAAGATGAAGACATACAAGGAGAAAATGAATTTCATCCTAAATGTTTAACGTATTGCATTGAATTGATGTCTGATTTAAATAAAATAATTAAAATAGTTATAAACGGAAGCGTAAATGGCTCTACGCTTGTTCTGTTTTAACTTTGTATATTGTCTTGTATTTTATCAGCTTATCAACATATATGATATTATACCTCCTTATTTATACAATATTTTTAATTGTATTAAGATTTTTTTAACATAATTGAAAGCAACTTCTTGAAATTTGTTCAATAAATTTTATTGCTTTAAGTTTTATCGACTGAAATAATATACTGTTTTTCAGATATTGCTTGAAACGAGATATTTAATCATATCGATATAATATTGTTGATATGATAAAAAAAAAAATTACAGTTATATTGATTTTAATTTATGAATATTTGCGATAAAGAAGTCGGAATAAAGTGTTTTTGAATAAACTTAGCGGGGGTGGGAATTCTAATGAACCTTTACTTCATTCGGAATTCAGTGAAAGCTCATGAATCATGTATTTGCCAGCGTGCACGACTGAAAGCTGAATTAAATAAAAAAGTATATTGAAAAAGGGAAATGGAGACACATTAAAAGTTAGATCCATAGGGGGCTATTGTACCGATCACCACTTTCGAAGAGGATGAGGCAAGAGTATCTCTGTGCACCTGAGATCCACTAATATATCTCAAAAATTTAAAAAAAATTCTAGCAGTTTGATTATTAAATCCCCGGGGTGTATTTCTTGTTATATATTTAATATGGCTGACACTAGGCCTACATGTTCCTCTTTTAAACTTTGTGACTACACTTATACATATGGCTGAAATTACAAAATGTTTTATATCATTTTTAGCAATAAGGAATTAGATCTGGTGTTTTGTTATATATTTAATATGGCTGACACTAGGCCTACATGTTCCTCTTTTAAACTTTGTGACTACACTGATACATATGGCTGAAATTACAAAATGTTTTATATCATTTTTAGCAATAAGGAATTAGATCTGGTGTTTTGTTATATATTTAATATGGCTGACACTAGGCCTACATGTTCCTATATTTAAACTTTGTGACTACACTTATACATATGGCTGAAATTACAAAATGTTTTATATCATTTTTAGCAATAAGGAATTGGATCTGGTGTTTATTTCTAATGCAGGGGGCCGGGTGGGTGGGTTAGGAGGTTTCATATTTACATTGGAGGTATATTTCTATGAGTCAGAACCTATGTATAACACAGAGTGGAACAACATCCAATATTTATAACGTACATACATGTAATCTGTGTTACATTTATTATACTGTTACTTTCTATTCAATAGCGATTTGCAATCCCCCACTGAACTTAAGTGATATAAGCAGTGATTGAACCACCATAGAATATATCATATTCCCTCTGCAAAATGATGGGTACAAAATCCCCCTATGACAATGCATATAATTTATCTGTTGATGTCTCTCCATCTCCAATTTTCAAATATTTTTTGAATTTTTTTTCAGCCTATAATCGTACACGATAGCAATAACACAGTACATAAGCTTCCCAAGTGAAGTGAAGATTCATAAGAATTCCCGCCCCCG